ATAAATATTCATAAAAAATATGAAAAATGATTTTATGGATTAAATAACGGTTGTAGTATCGCCAGGAGGATGTAAATGATATACACAGTGATTTTGGTGAGGCTACAGTTCACAATTGTTTAGTTATTGATCATTTATTCCCAAAAATATTAATAAAAATATTGAAAAGTTTCTTCTTTAAATAACAAAAGTTGTAGTATCACCAGGAGGGTTTGAATGATGTGTACAGCGATTTTGGTGAGGCTACAATATATGAGAGTTTAGTTATTGATTTTCTTTTGTGCTATAATTTTTCGTTATTTAAATTTGTTGATGGTCCCTGGGCACTCGTCTCAACGCCGAGTGTCCATAGAGATCAATGTTGTCGGAGCAGCGCAGAGGACGGCTTATTTAGATAAAAATGAGGTTGTAGTTCGTTGTGTGAGCTACTACGGTTGTAAAGAGGCATTGGCTGTGTTTTAAAAATGTCTCGATTACGAGTTATTGACGCGGGAAGCTCGAATCTGTGAATATGTTGCTAACTTTACTGCAGTTTTCCCTGGCACGTTTTAGTATGTGCTCACTCCATAGCCAAAGAAAGAGAATTCGACAAATTAGTATCACCACAAATTGAAATATCCCTAAAAAACTGTGATTGTATTTGTAAAACAATATTTAATCTTTTGTTGTAATTTTCGTCGACAAATGAGTTGAAAAGTCTATTGGTTTGCCTACTAGAGTATACATGACTATTTCTGGATTTTCAGAATACAGGCACGAGAGTTTGGAAAGACTGTTCAACGTCTGTTCACGATTACGTTTTTTAACGCGATAACCCTACCCTCTTGGTCAACCAGAGAATATTCGGTTTGTCACGGTAATAATATCCATAACGTTGTTTGATATTGCTTTCTCTAGGCATTTATTTTGTAAGTGAAAACGTTAAGGCACTTCAAAGGGAAATTGCTGCTGATAGTTTAATTGCCCTTGACAAACCAGAGTTTATCATTTGTTGCGTAGCAACCAACTTCCGCCGTGTTCTGAAATGGTAATTAATTTTTGATTAACTCATTAAACATCTTTCACAAAAATATATAGATAGCTAAATTGAAACAAAAATGTAAAACATAGTAGAAAGCACTTAATGTTCTCCATCACCTCTATATTATTAAAAAAGAGTCTATTTCCCATTTTTTGATAACTGCCTCTCAATTAAAGATGACATTTCTGTGGATCAACAGAAGCCTGGCTAAAATGGGTTTGTAGCCTATTCTGCCATCTTGTGTGGGAATAGTGGAACTGAAAGAGAATGTTGGAGTATTCCAGCACATCATGTGTACTGTACTGTGTCCTAGCAGCCTGTCCAGGGTGTATCCTGCCTCTTGCCCCAGTTAGCTGGGATAGACTCAACACTGTATTGTAATAAGTAGGTACAGGTAAAGTCAGGTCAAAGTCTCTGTTAAAAAGCCCTGGAGGAAGACATGGCTGCTAACCGTAGTTATTTAATGCTGGGGGAAATTGTGGACAAAAAAATCATCCAAATGTGAGAGGCTGTTCACTTAATTTAGTCAAGTGATTTTAATGGCAGTTTAAACAAAGTATTCTTTATGCAGTTTACTTCATATTTGGTTACGGTTTTTTTTCAGTTTAGTTTAGTTAAAGTGGACAATGCTACTTCTCCATTTGAGCTAATTTAATTTTTTTTAAAAAGCCAATTTTTTAAAATCATATGAGTTACTGTTTATTTGATGCTGTATTTACACAATTATAGGATCAAATAAAGCCATCTGATTATTTCAATAAGTGCCTTTTTATTGTATGGCGCATACTTTTTCTTGACTGTACTGCATCAAGCAATAAATATTGAGCAACCCTTCTTTAATTTCAATTCAGATAAAATATCCATCCTTTAAATGTTTTAATTGGTCTGTAGTGATGGTTCACCATGTTACCCAGTTCACTTCTAAACATGTGGTAATGGTGGCAGCTGTTTTGCCCATTGTCAGGCTGGTCCTGTTATCTGACCATTTTAAGAGGAATGTTCTTTCTTCTTTTGTTGTTAATTCACTCAACCTTATTTGACCTATTAATTAATCAAGTACCATGCAAATAAATTGAAGGGGGATTTTTCATGACATGCAAACATTAGTCATGAGATGAGAGACGATGGGATTTAAAAAACAAACCTGGCTGGTGGCACAGTAGGTAAGAACAATGAAATCTGCCGACGTAATACAGACGTAATACAAACAATAACACATTACATACTGTAATTCAGTTTACTTGGGGACTCATTAGGTAGTGCTGAAGTTTGGCTCATGTCACTGTCAGAGCTCATTCTCGTTTCAAGCCTCTTACAGAAAATCTCAGCTATGTAGCAGCCACAAACACTTGAGCATCTGTTTTAAACAATGTACTGCTTTTTTTTCAGTGTCAGGGTTCTGTTTATCACTACCTGCTCCACTTCAAAATTGTAAAACAACAATTTGCAATCACGAGAATTAACGCGAAAGCAACAAGTGGTTGATTACAATTGCTAGTAAAGTTATGAATTCAAACATTTATAGTAACTTCAGTCAAATTGTGTCTTTATTGAGATCTTCTCGTTTCACGTTTATTTACTTTAATAAGGATGCTGTGATGCCTCCAGAACGTTAGCTGGTGATTGTGGCAGTTAGTTTGTCAGTCTGTTAGATCCGCTGTTTACACGTTGCTGATTGCCCATTTTTAGAGTCCAATGACCAGTGATTCGGGCACTCTGGCTTCTTCCCACCATTCTTACATGCAGGTAAACTGGTCATTTTAAGGCCTCAGATACCAGTGTGTCTTTGAACCATTTCTGCATGGACCTGTTCAGGCTGTACCCCACCTTTTTGCAGGGCTCCCGCCCTCCATGTTCCCCATGCATGAAAACAGTGATATATTTCAAGTGACATCAACATCAAGAAGGAGCGTATAAAGCCAGAAAAAATACTAAGGGATGAAACAGGAGATTTAAATGTTGTGGCGAATGATGGAACTGTTCCTGTGTTGATACTACATATACTAGTAATCGATGGCCTGTTGAAAATGGCTCATCAGCTAAAAATGTATTCTGCTTGAACCCGACTGTGGTATTCAAGTGATCTATGTATTCTACTAATGTGGAGCATTATTAAAAATGGTTAAAAAAATAAAACTTTTTTTGCCATAAAACCTTTCACTGCAAAAGGACATACGACACAGAACCAGAAGATCAACCAGGACTTGTATTCCCATGCTGTGTCTCTATGTGGAATGGAAATATATTTCCAAAACAAAATTATTTCCTGGGGCTGTTTAGAAGCTTAATTTGGCAACTTGCAAATAAGAACAGCAGAGCCATGCTCTCTTTCACTTACGAAGGTCAATTAAGGATCATCTCGGGTCTTCTGTACATTTCTGGGTAGTAGTAGACCCTAAAATATTCCATGATCCAAATGATTTGGGATCATCAAATATTTTTGGAATATATTTTTTTTATGAAATCTGTCAGTAAAATTAATACATATGAAAAATAGAAAAGCAAAACCCCATTGTTGTTAGCGGATATAAAACATCAACGTCAGAGCACACTGATAAAGATTGAATATGGCGATAAAGGATTTGATAATCGACTTGATTTAAATGCCAAAAGAATTCCCCCCAAAAATAAAAAATGAGTTGCACTGAAAATATTTCATTAAATGGCATTCACGACTCTTAAAACCTTCACTTTCATCTTTTTAAAACTTCTATCATTGTTTTTTCCCCCATTTAATTCCTAACATCAGCAGTTTCACTTCTTTCATCCATCTCAAATTCCACTTCTTATCTTCAGTCTTAAAATGAATCCATTCTGAATAACAAACTAAAAACTCACTTAAAGCAAGATATAATGCAAATATATTTAAATGTCTTACTAATCCGATTCCTTTGACTTCAGTAGTGCAAAATCTTTCTAATCTCCCGAAGACATCTTATTCAGATGTATGGAAATTATTTTCCCTCGCTCGCAATTTTAGTCCCAGGCGAAAAGTATAAAAATCCCAGTCTTCTTCCTCCTGCACAAAGACTGAACAATGGAGACGTTTGTACTCAGACTGCTCATTATTACGAGTGCTTGCGCTTTGTCAGAGAAGCACGTCTTCGTCCGTAAACCACGGATCTGGTCAGCTGCTAGAGGATACTGCAGGATACACTACACTGACATTTCGCCAATCACCAATGAGGTGGAGGAAGGGGTGCTAAAACAGTTTGCGGGAAAGTACATGTCAGGATGGATCGGCCTCTACTGGGATAAAGATGTCAAAAAATGGAAATGGTCAGGAGGAGACAATGTCACAAATCAAAACTGGTTGAACGGGATACCACACAGGGACACTAATGCCAAATGGACCAGTGATGGATGGCGAGCTGTAAATGGCCTAACGGAACAAAATTTCTTCTGCTTGAACCTGATTGTGGTGCAGGAAAAGAAGACCTGGGAGGAAGCTCTGGTGCACTGCAGGGAACACCACAGCAGCTTGACCAGCCTGCTCTCCAAGTCCGAGACTCTCCTGGCCCAAAATCGGATCCGGAACGCGACCGTCACCGAGGAGATCTGGATTGGCCTGCGTTACCTGGGAGACAGCTGGCTGTGGGTGAACGGCGACCCTCTGGTGTACAGTGCCTGGCCGGAGGGGGGAGATCAGGACCACCTGTGTCCAGTGTGGAGACGCTGTGGGGCTTTAACCAAAGAAGGAGTTTGGGAGAACATCGGCTGTCATGAGAAGCTCCACTTCATTTGCGCTTGAATGCGACGAGATAAGCAATCAGCTCAAAAATAATAGTATGTTCAAATAGCATAAATATCCAACTGCTACTTAATCCTCTTTAAGTTGCTTACCTAGAATACAAATCTTATTCGAAAACTCTACAGCCAAATGGTAATTCTAATGTTTTTACAGGGTGAATAGCTTTTTATGTCAAGACTGTTGTCAACAGTGCTGCTTGAGGGGATTTAGAAAGAATAGTGCAAAGGTGTGGACTTTTGTTGATATGTTATCGAATGAAAATGGACCTCTTAAAATGTTTTAAAAACTCAGCTGGGAGAGATTTCAATTCCCACAGCCGTATGCTAAAAATGATTTCTTCTGCATTCTATGTAATGGTAGAAATTGTTATAGATCATTCAAACGCAATGTTTAGAATCAGTGTAAATAAATGTTAAAAATTGAATAAACTAAATACATTACTGTCTAGTTTCTACTACGACTCATAACAGTGCTTTGTGACAAAGGAAGGACATTTTATTGACTGTCTGAGCAAACCTGCCTGACATATGCAGCACAATTCACAAGACAAGTGTTGAGATCACAACAAAAGACAAGGCCAGATTTAATGGTGTGACTTATGGCAAAGTGACATATGCAGTTTATGTTATACAGCAATCACAGAGGTTTATCAAAATCAACTCCTTTCACACTTCACTGCAGAAAAAGTTCCTGTCAGCTCACATAAGCATCCCATAAGCAGTTAAGTCCTTTACCCAAATTAATATCTTTCGTTTGGCATGTCTTAAAAAGAAAAAAGAAAACTTAAATCATCTAAAACAAAAAAAAGAAATTTAACACTTAAATCTAAGTACTATCCCATCATACCAATTTACCCCTTCGTTTGTAACATCCACTGGGTCTTTAACATCTTTACAAAGCCATTAAGGAAATGGTATGAACATGTTTGCTTAATGACCAATGTCTCAAGCATTTCAAATACTGTTATACAAACTGACTGCCTTGACCAAATGATCATTCGAAAGGCTTAGCTCACTCTATATTCCAAATATTTACTCAACATGTAAACAAAAAAAAACAATTAAAAAAATCTTACTCATGAAAGTGCTCACTTTAGTAAAGGAAATAATGCAAAATACAGTGTACTTCAAGCTTTCTTTTAGTCTTTGTCAGTACAAAAAGATTTTCTTGACTTACAGTGTTTCTCTCCCAAAGGGAAAAAAAAATCACAACCCTCTTCATAAAAAGACATGCTATGGATTGGATTTTTTCTATTATGCCTGCTATCCAACTTCTTCATTAACTCACCAGAAAAATGAGAGTCAGGCTGCAACTTATGTGTCACAGTGCTGTGTACACAATGCAAGCATACTGGAGTTCATTCCTAAAATGTATCATTCAAGGCCCTTCCAGTAATTGCAACATCCACAGGCTACCTCCAAATATTTTTGCAAATTTAAAACACTCCAAAATCAAAATAATTTAACTCCACAAAATGACCTGTGAGAGATGCCGTGAACATGTTTCTGCCATCGATATGACATTTACCCTTTGTTTTTGTTTTCTTCAATCAAAGCACATTTGGTTCCATGAAGCTGAGTCAAAAAGTACACCAAGATTTCATTAGGTTTCCATGTGGTTAATCCTTGTGATTGTCTGAAACAAACTGTAATTCTCTCTCTTTTCCTTTAGCAGCGGACCGCATTCACCTCGGCAAGCGTCTGCCGCATCAGTCAAACTAAATCTTTAAAATGTCCATATAGATTTTAGAAGAAGCAGCAACCCCTTTAAACTGAATTGCAGGACTCAAATGAGTTTTAGTTCCTGCTTTCTGAGTGGTTGTCGTACCTCTTGGTGTCAGAGCATGAACAGGAGGAGGAATAAGTTCACCTCACAGCAGGGAGAACAACGACCGTTCAGGACTGGCATTAGAGTCCCTAAAGGTGGAAGATCACAATCTCATCACAAACATACATTTACAACATTTAAATAACACACACACACACACACACACACACGCACACACACACACACACACACACACACTCTCACTATTGCTCTCCTTTGCCAAACATCTACCACCTTGTTTCTTTGATCAGTCTTGATGGGGCTACTTTACCGTCTTCATGAGCTACTTAGCTACATTTTTTCTTCTTTTTTTTTGCTTTCAGTATAAAACAAAACAAAAAAAAACACACAGCCGCTCCTCGCATTACATGTCCCCGATGTTGTGGGTTGGCGTCGTTGCTCGTCAGGATTTGAGGCCCATTCGGGCCATCAGCTGTTCATAGACTGTCCAAGCCATGGCGGCCATCAGAGTGCGGCGCAGAGAGCGAGGCACGGCACCGCGGAAGAAGCCGGGCATGCCGTGTTCCTGTGGGAGAGAGCAGAGACGGAAGGTTGTGTGTGAAACTCAACATGCCAGATGACATTCTTAACTTACGCTGACAGTTTTGATGAAGAACAAAAAAGATAAATAAGACCAGTCTGACAATTCTTCTCCTTCCATCTGCCAAGACATGTATTCTTTGTTCTGTTTTTTTTTTATCTTTCCAGCTGGCAATTTAACTCCTTTTAATCTGTTCTTCACATATTAACCTGATTCTATATGCAATACTTTGTATTCAATTTCTTAATGAAGGTAAGAGAAACATGTATTATTTATATCATGTTTTTTCACGTTTATAGCAGTAGATAACAGTAATCAGTGAACAACACGTACACATACCTTATAAATATAGCAAACGGCATCTGCTGTGCTCCAGTGAGATGGACTGACTTGAATGTGGGTCTTCACCACGTCTGCAGGCTGCGTGGCCAGCGACGCCATGACGCCCGCCACCACACCACAGCTGAAGTTCACCAGCGGGGCGTAGGGCGCGGAGCTCACCTCTGACGAAGAAAAAACGGCTATCAGGATGCTTTTTTTTTTTTTTTCACAAGTCGCTGACGTTCGGTTGGACGTTCTGGCTGGGCCCGGCTCTCACCTTGGGGCAGCGCCCTCTTGGCCTGGCTGTAGAACATGACGTAGATGCCCGAGAAAGGAGCATCTCGGAGCAGCGTGGCGGTCAGCCCTGAAAATAGAGCCCGGATTCCCTCCGTCTGGTACATACTCCTCAAAGCCCCGGCTACACTCGCATAGTTGTAGCAGCCGCTCTGAAGAAAAAAAAGAAACATAAAACAGATTAAAAACATAAATTTCAATGACAGTTGTGAATGTCATCTTTTGGAACTTTTTACTTCTACGTTTTGTATTTTTTACATGAAGTTATAACGACGCTGAAAACAGGAAGTCCAACCTCAATTATTCTTTTAGATCAGGGATTCTCAAATTGTGGGTGCGGAAGATGAAAAATGTAATGTTTTACAGTTTTTCCCCACACAAAGACGTCTAAATAAACATTTCCTTTGTAAAATCAAAGTTAAGATGTATTATTTTTAATAATTTTTTTAAAAATGCACACGAAAAATATATTTATTTAGATGCTGTCTTCTTCTACGTTTGATTTTAAGATGAAATAAGGAAGAAATGATTGTCTTCTATACATTGTACTGTATATGTGCACCTAGCTGGTGGCTTCTATTCTAAAAAAAAATGTTGCATTTAGTTTTTCTTCAAGGAGTGGTGCATCTCGGGGTGCGTACAAACTGTTGGGACGCAGAAAGGAGGTGGCCAAAAAAGCTTTGAAATGTTATTTAGACGTTTGAACAGCCAAAAATAGCAACGGCAAAAGTAATTGATCGCTCACTGTGAAAAGCGACAATCTGCATCTGCTCGTTACTGACGTTAATTATCGCAATACTAAGAGGAGAAGAGTAGCGGAAGATATTAAATTCCGTCCACGTCTCGCACCGATCCGAAGAAAGGGGTTGATTAGGCAGATCTGCACCTCGAAGCGCGTCTTGATGACTGTAAAGGGCAGCATGCAGACTCCGGCCACGGTCCTGGCACCCGCCCCGAGAAGGACGGCCTCGCCGGCGTTGGGTGCCCGGTCCAGGAAGAAGTGCTGCTTCAGGGAGTAGAAGGTGCTGAAGTAGATGCCCACGCCAGGGATGCAGCGCACAAATGACTGCAATGGCAGAAAGAACACCGTTTGACATCAACAAGATTTGGCTTTTTCTTTTGCATATTTTTGTATCTTTTAAAAAAACGTCTAAATAACATTTCAACAAACAACGTAAAACATTTGATCCTGAAAAGTCAAATTATAATGTTTCAACTACAGAATTCTTTATTTGCTGATGAAAACTAAAAAGATTTTTTTAAATTGGGTATTCTGTGTGTTTTTTTAAACCGACAATACTGAAACTGGAAAGCTTCTTGTCTGGTTCTTCAGGCCAGACATGGAGGAGATACTAATGTGAACTGAAAGAGCGTTAGGGGATTGCTGCTGGAAGGGAAGCGTTTACACAGAACGCTGCACACACACAAACGCACAACAACTTCGTCTCAACCGCAAGACCTGTTACATGGATCAGAAAAGACAATTAATCCTAGTTACTCACTGGTGAAACTCCTTTCCACAGGCTGAAAAAATTTTCCGTCCTAATAATGTTGATGAAAACCGTAAGCATTCCCACCTTTGCCACTCTGCAAGAACAAATATTGGAATTTGTAAGCCAAAGCATATTCAAAAGTATAAATACATTGAAAAGAATCTTGGAATGTCATGATGAGAAGATGTTGCTAATAAATAACTATCTAAGATATTTTCAGTGTATATATGAGACGTATAGATGAAAAAGCATCCTGTTCTCATCCTCTATGCAGCAAAACCGTGTGATTATATGGAGCTGGCTAAATGTTCTAGGTTCGGTCTCCTGCTATGCTGCATGTATTTGCCCAAAGCCGTTCAGCACATGTTAGAGATGACATGTGAGGCATGCTGTACGTGATTCAGCGTGGTAAAATGTACGGCTGTGCATGCACGGGAACGCACCCCGGCTTGGCGTTGTTCTGGATGGTCTGCAGCCGCGTCTTGACCAGATCCAAAGGCTGGAAGAGCAGCGTAGAGCACGTGCCGCTGAGGGAGCCGCACATGAAGGCTTTGAGAGCCGGGTGAGCCTGAGGACGCCGACGACAGCGATGTGGACGGACAATGGAGGAGACGGAGAGAAGGATTAAATGAAGGAGGGGAAGGGAAAAGGCAAAAAGAATAAGTGTGGCCGTAAGAGAGAGGCATGGCAGACAGAGAGCCCAGCGAGTGGACACAGACTAGAAGGAGGTGTGGAACGCAGAGAGAAAGACAGAAGATGACAGAGGAAATAAGGCCAACCAGGGAGAAATGTGAATGTGAAAAACGTCCACAGATCAGTCTCTCCAACCGGATGGCTCTCACTAAATATCAGCAAAATCCACATTTGTGTGGTTCATACAACAAAAAAGGCCCCAGAATAACAATCATCTATATTATAACAGTCATAGATTAGACTTAATTGAAACGTAAAGGTTACGTTTGAAGGTGACATTTTCTGCCAAAACAAAGAAAAAAGAGCCTGTGGCACAGAGCTGAGGCAAAGTTCCTTCACAGTGAAAATGATGGAGATGTGAAGAGACAGCCTACACACACACACACACACACACCGAGTAAATATTCAAGCCTTAAGACAACATCACAGTAAATATACCAAAATCCCAAATCAGTTTTTCATACTTGAACTGCTCTGATTATTATTATGAGAAATGGCATTCTTATAACTAAACAGGTTTAGGTTACCGCAACAAGAGCAATACATGGACCAGCACCTCATAAACCTAAAACCAAACGTGGAGTTTAATAGATTAGCGAGAGCCTGTACTGACACATGGCTGTGCTTCACAGTTACAAAAAATGAATTGCGCCTAAGTGGTGAGCTACAATCACTCAACACAAAATTGTGCCCTATCACTCAAATACACACTCCTACCTTAACAGGGTAGCTGCCTGGGCAAGCGCTCTGAGAATCCTGCTTTTCTTGCATTATGCAGTCAGCAAAATGTCGAATAAACCTGTATATGTTACGAAAAGCCTGCCTTCCTTCCTTCTCCCTCCTTTCCTGCGACCCAAAAAAGCTTTCTCGTGCTTTCCCCCCTCACGATTTGCAGGGGAGGAAAAAAAAGAAAACAGAACCCTAATCCTGTGCGTGTATTCTATGGGCTTCCATCTTTATCTTTTAGATGCACACTCATATCTGTCTTTGCCAACACCCCCCCACCTCTTTGTAACGCTAACTGCTAAATTGCATCTTTATCAAACGGCATGAGTCATGAACAGTGTGGAGCGAACATGTGGGTCAGAAAAACAGCAGCAAGAACAGAATGAAGAGGGACAATACGGGGTCATATTTGTGAGAGTTAATTTGGGGTTACATTAACAATTGCCTATACATTTTACCATCTCATTTGATAACGCAAAAAGTGTGGCTCATACAATATCAGTCCCAACCAAGAGCTATAAGCTGACATTTTTAGTCTCTGCTTTAACCATGTTCGATATAAAGACAAATATTTATTCGGAAGAGTCCTGTTAATACCATATTTAGGACCTCTGAATCCCTCTGTGCCCACTATGTAAACTAGTGCACACACTGCCATTAAAGTCTACCACACTGTCATTGGCATCGGCAGCTGTTGATGCCAATGGCAATGTAGCAACAGATTAAACGTGGAAAGGTCACCTGAGATAAATGCACGCGATTTGCGCATACATTTTGCTGGTATTTCAACCTAGAAAGAACAAGTTCTTAATCTCAAGTCACAACTTGTACCTCCTCCTTTCCATTAGCAACCCACCCACCAGAAATGTCAGACAAAGCAAGGGACAAGGATCTGCTTCTGAACTATCATTTGCAAAACAATGTTATCATGATTAGATTATTCTGCTGTGCTACTTCAGTGACAGATTATAGATGCTCCACTGTAAATTACTTTGCTATTCTTAAGAGCTATGCATACATTTACAAATCATGATGAGATTTTAAAAAACGCTTTTATACATGAATTACTTACATTTTTTCTCCTTTTTTTAATTAAAAATCCATACCCACATGTTTTCATAAGTAGTTGATAAGTAATTGATCCAAGACTTTGGACCCTTTGCCCTCATGATACAAGTAATTTTTTAAGGATTTGCTATTTTTTTGTTGACTTTGTCTAGTGGAAGCGATGAGAACATATATTCTGACTTGGGTCCTTATGTTAAATGTATTTACTTATTTTTTTTAATCTTCTTGTTTGGAAAAAAAGAAGGCAGCTGTATGGTGGCCAAAAGCCCTGTCAACACTCACCGCTGCTAACTCCATCTTTGAACTCGATGCTGAGCCGGCTGAGTCCAGTTTCTCTATTGATGCTGTCGGTTGAAAGCTCATCAGGTTTCGCCGAATTTACTTGGAGGGCAGACAAACAAATACAAACACATAAAAACTCAATGAAAACGGAGAAAAGGCGAGCCAGAGGGGAAACGCGTGGCAGCCAATAATGGTTCCAGAGTTATTACAGGAGCTACATGCTACATTAGCTAACTTCATCAATATAGCAAGGACATTTCGTTGGGGTTAGTTTTCTCAGCGGGCTGCAGCCAAATTACAAAACTAGATACAACGGTACGTGACTTGGTAGAAGAATTAGTAACCTTAAGGCCATAGCAGTCAGCTATGAAAGCTACCTCGTTTGACAAGAAGGTAGTCTCCCACACTGCTTGGCTTGTTAGCAAGCTAACATTGTAGCTACCTCCACTTACCTGGTTCTAAGTGCTACGAATTGGTGGAATGGATCGTCCCCCATGTTATCTTTTCAAAAAAATCCAGGTTTTGTATGTCCAGTTATATCTAAAGTCTAACGTCAAAAACCACTTCACTTCCAGGGAATACAGAACTTCCTGGCAAAGCAAGTTAGATCATTTTAAAGTCACCGAAGCTTGCTCCATATTCCCATAGTTTGTAAGTTTGCCCTTCATCTAAGAAGAATAAGTAGACCGGGTTTTTTGTTTTGGTTGCTGGAAACGTGACACACGTTGTTGCCCGCTGGATAAATGTTAACCGCAGTTATTACCCTTTGACGCTAAAACAGCTGGACAGCTATAACCCCAGACAGGAAAACGCCGCCGTCACACAGGATACAACCAGACGCTCACGAAACGCGAACCGGCGTGCACACGTTTAGGAAACCTCTAATTATCTACCAGTCACTCCCGATGTGACCGGTGTGAAAGAACGATGTGCAACATCTACTCAGCTGTGTGGTAATTTATATATATATTTGAGTCAAACTTGTCCTTCCACACGTACAATAATATACACAGCCAAGTAAAGTATTTTTAAACAACCGACAAAACTAGACGGTAAAAAATAGTCGCCTCAAACAATCAAATTCCGTTGCTTAAGCATATCTAGAAACCGTTTCACTTTACGTTTTATTTAGCGCTGTTTTTAATCAAACACTAGGTGTCCCCGAGGAAAGTATTTTGGTTGAACGTTCAATTTGAGATTCCGCTGGTCAACAGCGACAATACGTGGCCGAGAAACAGACTTGCGAGACACGAGACACACAATCAAACATGCTCCAAAACAGAAAAAATGCATATTTAAAAAAATGTGTAGGTAAATTGAATTATAAAATGTGTGAAAAAGTTAATACATTTTTTTTTTCAATAATATACATTTATATTTGGTATTTTTATTACATTTTTATATACCCCCCTAAATTCTGTCAATTCTAGTACATACTTACATCTGTCTTTCACTTACTAACCTAACATCGGATAGACCCCTGTCAGGAATAAGCAGTATTGCAAATGGATAGAAGTAACCCAGTGGATTTTCTTTTTTTTTTTTTTTTTTTTAAAGAGAACCTACACATACAAGGTGAGAACATGCAGCACTAAGAGTAAACTTTATCCACAAAAAAAGAAAAAGATGGATGTAACTTTCTAAAAAAAATTGAGGAATCAAATTCATATTTCATGACTTTATTGCATTAAGGCATTTCATTTTATATAAAAGAGCCTTATAACCTTGGCATTATTGAAATCAATGACATCAACTTGGAGGGGCATAATACAAGAACATGCTGCATTCAGCTTTTAGGGATTAATATACCGACAGCCCATAACCCTTTTGGTTGGGAAAAGCATATAAGAAAAACAAAAGTGTATTAGTATATCACCAGTATGTTACCCATCACCAGTAGTAAATTAAATGCAACATCTATGGCAGCTAGCTCAAGTGCACCAACGTCTTCAACAATATTATCATCTTTTATCCATGCCACAAGAAGTTAACCAGGTGCAATTAGTCGCCGTGTACTTTGGGTTAAGGTGACAACACAGTAAGAGCGATACAGTATGGTTCTAAGCATCAATTCCAACTTCAGCAAACTCAGTCCACAAATTCTTATTCAAAATTTCAAAAGAACCCCATCTGTGAATATAAAGGCTAGAAAAAACGCTAAGTGATAGCAAAGCACCATGAATTTTGAATAAAATTCAGCCTGCAGTGGTTATTCCAAGCACAGTATTAGTGATAAAATATAACCATTCTGTAGAAAAATAGACCAGTTTTTGTTAAGCTTTGCTCACTTAAAACTTTGCTTATTCATACTGAGATAAAGAAGATTAATTGATAAAATTAATGGAATTGCATATAGAGGGGGGAATATAAGGCTGTGACCTCAATATCAATTTTTTTTATTTTTTATCTTGGCTCTCCTGATCACTCAGCTGCAGGTTCAGGTGTTTCAGGTGACAATTCCATGTCCTCATCACTTTCCAAGCCACTACGATTCATGGTGCGCCGTATGTTGAAAGGCAAATCCCCACGTCTTAAAAAAAAAAAAAGGGGGGAAAAAAGAGTTTTAAACACCAAGAAGGACCAGGAAAAGACAAGTACAGATAGATAAGGAAAGCATATTATGTCACCGATTTTAATCTGAAGTAAAGTTACGCTGACCTTCTGAAACATCACCTTTTGCAGGATAAAAATAAATACAAAATTTTAAAAAGAAGGTTCACTTGAATGGTTTCTAACTTGTTTGCGATAATTTAATATGCATTTATAGCTGAATTATCAGAAACTTGTACTGATTTTTCATTTCGGACATTTGACAAAAACAACAAATAAGGAATTGTGTGTACCACGTATACAGCAAAGCATCACTATTAAAAAAAAATACTAGGTGGAACGTTGGAATGTGGGGAGCGCCTAGACCCACATTAGTTTAGTTAATGCATACACGGAAGAGTATTATTGGCCTTTAATGTGTAAGTGTAATTTGGGTCAATTTTAGTAAAAACCAACATGTTTCCATACATTTTAAAAATCTGGTTTTGGTCAAATGAGATATAATCTAACCAAACATGACATACGTCCAGTAAATGGTCCATTCGCAAATGTTGAATTAAAGCTATGCACGCTGATTGGACCTTTGAATACATAAATGGGAGAAACTACTACCTGAGCTTGCTCTTCAGAGTGCTGACTTCACGGTTCATAACATCTGCCGACTCGGTGACATCATCAAGCTCCCTCTGCAACTTCCTGCGATAGACGTTGGCCCTCGTCAGCTCTTCCTCCGTTTCTTCCAGCTGACGCTTAAGCTGACGCATTCGGCTATTTGTCTTGTCCACCTGCAGAGAAGGTTTATTTAGCGAGAAGAACAGGGACAAATGGCACAATTGAGAAAAGTAGATCAAATATTCAATCAAATCTTCTCTCATTTTAATATAAAAATAAAAGGGGAAAATGGAAGTGAGCGATGGGACTTACTTGATCTTTAAATTGTTCTGTGTTGCGTCTCTCATCCTCAATCTGAAGCAATGCCTCCTTAAGTTTCTTATCCGACCGCCTGACGAGCCTGGAGGCTTGCTGGCGCTCTCTAAAATCAGAAGCAGGGCAAAAACAATTAGACAAAGCAGCTGCATCAAGACACGAGAGGAGGAGAAAAAGCAAAAAAACCCCACCAATTCTGCATTAATATCTAGTGCCAATTTCAATGCCACTTACTTGGACTCTACATCCAGCTGCTCTTCAAGCAAAGCAATCTTGGCCTCCAAGGAAGTGATCGAGGACTTGTACTTGGACTTGATGGTTCCCTCCAGCTCCTGCAGCTTCAGTTTCAGCTCCTTGTTCTGACGATCCAGCTGAGAGCGAGATCCCTCCAGACGCTGGGTGTTGCTGCGCTCTGCTGCAAGTTCTGTGGTGAACTGCTCAGTCTGATGTCACACACACAACCACACACACAGAATCACCATTACATTCTGGAGTTTTTGTCTGATCCCTCATAAGTCACTACTATCAACTCTGAAAGGATGAATTACCAGTAAGAACACTTCCGTAATGCAGTTTCGAGAAACTTTCTAATTTTCTTCTACTTACAAACAAAAAGTAAATGACCATCAGCTATGGGCAAAAGATAAGCAGGGAGTGTTCAGTGACCATTACCTGCAGCGTTGCTCTCTTCAGACGTTCGTTAACCATTTCTGTGTTGAGTTGTTCTTCATCTAGTTCTTCCTCCAGCTGAGTGATTCGAGCCTCCAGCCTCCTCTTCTCATCCGCCAATAAAGTACTGTGAGCAAGAAGTGAAAAAGACAAAACTAAATAGTTTATATACGTCAGTTAAGAGATTTCAACAGCATTAGCTGATAAACTAACCACATCCTTCTGAAAATCCTCTATACAATTGAAATAAAAATAAAAAAAATTTAAAGAAGAATTGCAAACCAGCATAAAACTGTTGCACATATGTGGAAGAAATGTATGTTAAAAAGACAAACGTAATCGTGCAAGGGTATATGATTATTCCATTGTAAAACACAAAGTATCATTATCTAAACCCTACTTCTTTGTGTTACTGCTGTTAATCTCATCCTGGAGCTCATCCCTCTCCGTCTGAGCCTGTCTCTTGAGTCTCTCTGCAGTGGCAAGCTCCTGATGGGAGGCAAAGAGAACAAAGAATGATTGCACTTGATAGAACAGCCTTTAAAAAAAAAAAAGAAAAAGACTTTTTTTTTTTAATTCTAAAAATGTACAAAACAAACTGTGCATGTAAACAAAATTAATAACCTGATATAAGTAACAAAATATGCATATTTATATATATATATAATATACATTATTCCAATAACATGCAAGTGACAGGAATGTTTTTTTCATAAGACATTTCTTCAATTTAAAATGATTTTCTTCCCCAGGAAATAAATGTAGCTTCAGGCGATACGATTAGTGGCACATTGCTCTCCACATTTCCCTTCTACTTTTTTCCCCCTCTCATCTCTTAAATGCAGCTTAATAATGAGATCTGCTAATATTACTACGTTGGTAACATTTGGTTCTACGCTCGCACTTACTTTTCTTACGATATAACGTTTATAACCCTCCTTTACCTCTTGGAAGTGCAGCGCATCAGCCTCAAGGGTCTTGAACTTCTTTTCGGTCTCCCTTGCCCCGTTGACCGCTTCATCTCTGGACAGACGAAGTTCATCCAGCTCCCTCAATAGCTCTTTCATCTGGGCCTAGAGGGCAGATATCAATGCATTCATGCTGAAGTTGGACACTTCTGGTAAAATATATTTTATCCATGGTGTATTCCATGGAGTCATGGAATAGGTTATTTTGATGAAAATACTATTCAACTAGACTTGATTTTTGGAGTCAGAATTTCCTAACTGGGCATTCTGTGCAATCAGTGACTGTTCAGGGGGGGAGGGAATTCTTGATTTAAAAAAAGAATTCAAGGAATATTGTATTGATTCCTGTTGACTCTGGTTCCTGTTGCCCTGATTCTGCTCCTTTTGATCACCATGATGTGAAAGTCTTTGAGGTAATTATGAATCTAGGCTTTTTGCATGGTATGTTACATGTGCAGCCTCTTATATAAAAAGTTTAGTTCTTGAGTTTACAACCTCACAAAGAACCGATCAGGGAGAACTTTAAAAAAAAAAAACATAAAAGATTTTTTGGGCAGAATCGAAAGCATCTCAGATATTCTTAAACTGAAGAACTAAACAGCTACATGCTTACATGTTCTACATTGACACAAGAAATTGGCTTTAGCACCAGTGAACCACAGACTCTTGATTCATTGACCTTGTTTTCATATCAGGGGGGATTTCAAATATAACCTGCATAACGGGACACATCCACCTGCACCAATTATGACCCGTGACCACCTAAATTTCCCCAAGATGGTAAATCCAGACTCTCGTTTCAGTATACCGAAACACCGGAAATTTTCCAGTTGAATTATTTGTACACATATGCAAAATTAACTGTTTGTCTTATGATTGCAATATTCTTTTGTCAGTTTGTATGTGGATGAAGGAGTGTTTTACCTGGAGTTTTTTCAGCTGCTTCAGGGCATCGTCCCGTCCTCTGTTAGCAAGATCGATCTGGGCTTCCAGCTCAAACAGGTCAGTCTCTAATTTCTTCTTTGAAGAGAGGGCCTGAGTACGTTGTCTGCGCTCCTCTTCCAGCTCAACTTCCATCTCGAAAACCTGAATTAAAACAATATTTAGCCAATAAGTGAAAAATTCCAAATGTTTTTTTTTTATTAATTGGAAAAGAACCCTACATATTTGTTGTCCAGAAGTATTATTTTCTATCATCATACCTGTTTGACAAGCTGTTTCCTCCTTTCCTCTCCCTGTTCGTCTCTGGCTTGCAGGTCTCTGTCAAACTGAGCTTTCATGGCCTGCATGTTGACCTCCAAGCGTAGTTTGGCATCTTCTGTGGCTTGCAGCTCATCCTCCAGCTCCTCCAACTGCACTCTCATCTCCTCCAGCTGCTGCTCCATAGCACGCTTTGACCTCTCCAGTTCATGCACCTGCCAAAATTTTTTAAAAAATGTACAAAAGTTTTAGAGGGGTAGGTATACACTCAAAGTGAAAAAAAGGAAAGAAAAGCTACCAAAAATAATGAAACGGCAGCAACTCTTACTAGGCGCACTCATTTTCTCCATTGTTAACATTTTGTCATTACTGATTTATAAAAATAAAAAAAACAATTAAAAATACATTTAAAAAACATCTCATTCTCTTGATTCTCCAGTAATTTCCCTTACACTCTTGCCGACGTCATCCTTCGAGGACACGAGGTCTTCCATCTCAGCTTTGAGCATTTTATTGGCCCGATCCAACTCATTTTTCATGTCGGTCATAGTCTCCAGCTCACGGTTCAGCGTGAGCGCTCGCGTTTCCTTCTCCCTGGCTTCAGCCTCAGCCTTATCACGCTCCTCAGCGTACTGAGTAGAAATGGTTTTCTCCTCAGCCAACATCTAAGGAAGAAAGCATTAGTAGTGTTAAAAATCCAAGTGACAACAAGTTGGACAAACTCAGTGGCTAATGATCAGCTTTTCAAACCATGACAATATTAATATTCTTTTTACCGTGTTTAGCTCAAAATTATGCCAACAGGACTGTAATCTGAGTAACACGATATGCCGAACACTGCTTTGCCAAGGAAGGCTTTATGGCTGAAAAGCCCCCTCTATTATCCAGAACTGGGAATCTTTCTTTCTTATTCTAGAAATGACTGAGGATGAAGGACTGCAGGGGGCAAAAAAAGGACTGCCTAGGTTGTACCCTTAACATTATAGTAGATCCTGATGCGTTGCTTTGTGTAGAAACTTAATGCAAAATAGGACCTGATCAAACTTCTTTTGCTTCTTCTCCAGGTTGGACACGATCTGCCTCAGGTTGTCCTGGTCAACCAGGAGGTCATCCAGCTCCTGCTGCAAACGGGTCTTTGTCTTGTCCAGTTTGCTGTAGGCCGCCGTCTTCTCTTCCAGCTGCTGCATCATGCTGTCCAGTTCCCGCTGAGCCTTCTTGCGGCTTTCCTCCGATCCCTCCAGTGACAAGGCCTCCTGTTCTGCCTTCTTCTTCATGTCTGCCATCTGGAGAAAGGAAACGTTAAGAAGGGAATGAGACGAACGAGAATCAAAAGGCACTTGTGACGGTCAAGGACAGCTTTGGTGGGCCGAGAGATGCGGCTGCCATCATCGGTGTCCAGATGTGTGGTGGCTTACCTGGGTCTGTAGAGTCAAAACCTGCTTCTCCACATTCCTCTTACTCTCTTCTTCTTCCTCCAACATCTCTCGCAGGCTGTTCTGCTCCTCTTCCAGCTGCCTCAGGCGAGTGGAAAGGGAGAGCTTCTGTCGAGTTTCCTCTTGAAGCAGTTCCTGGAGTTCGGTAAATACAACAAATTGAAATATTCCCGAGCATTTAAGATCAAATCCTTCACCTTGAGCGTGTCTGATTGTTTTTTGTCCTATTAAAGGTTCAAACGTCGCCAAGCGTAAAGCACTTTTCTTGGTGGTAGTAAAAATCTATTGAAGTTCATACCTGTGCATCCTGCAACTGAGACTCCACTGAGGATAGGTCTTTGCTGGATTTGATGTTCTTGCTGTCTGCTTCACTGAGGAGGGCGTTAACATTATCCAGCTCTGACTACACACAGAAAGAAAAAAAAAAATAGAACCAGATTATTCTTCATTAATGTAAGGTACTTTATTCCGTCCCAGACAACTGAGAAAAGTAAACATCCTTAACGCGGTGAGCATTCAGGAACTCGGCTTCTGTGAACCCTTCATCATACCTGCATCTTGGTCAGCTTGTCGGAGACCTCCTGCCTCTGTCGCTCACTTTCTCCATATTTAACCTGCAGCTCTTGGACCTGGGCTTCGGCCTTCTTGCGGCGGTGTTCAGAGTCTCCTTTGCTTTGTGTCAGAGTTTTCAACTCAATTTGTAGTTCATTCCACTCACTTTCCAGGGCTTGTTTGCCTTTCTCCACCGACACCTTGTTCTGCAGGGGGAACACCACACACTTGTTATTTGTGTCCAAGGCTTAAGGTGGCAGCTTATCCCCTGACAACTGCACCACTTACCCGTTTAGCCTGCTCCAACTGCTCATTGAGCTCATCAAAAGCTTGGTTGTGTTTGTGTCTCATTTCAGCCATCATGTCCTCGTGAGCTTTGGCCTCATCATCCAGAGTCTTCTTTAGCTGAGCAACTTCTGTCTCACGCTTGGACCTGAAAAGACGAGAAAAATCCACAGATCATATTAACCCTTTCGTGCATGGATTACCATCATTTCAAATCAGTATTTTTCCAAATATTCTTAATTTTTTTGAGGCATAAAATAAAAGTGAAAACTTTCCCAGATGTTTTCCCATAAGTTTTAAGATTTTACTACTGAAATACTGTATGTTACTGTGAACAAATGTTGATATTTGTTAAAGAAAATGCATAAACACAGAGCTTTGCAAACAACTCATCCTATTCTAATGTTCACTACAATCACATAATTTTTCTCATTCCCACTTATTCTTGATTTATCTTAGTCTCTCAGCTCCTCTTAAACAGTGTATTAGTGTTTTTATTTTTCTAATTGCATGATGCACCAGTGTCCACCTCATTGGGTTTGTATGTGTTTGTATGCACATGGGCCAAAGACACACACATAAAAATGTCTTTTAGATAGTCTATTGTAGTTTCCACTATGCATGAGAGGGTTAAGAAGTTTTTCGTCTTTTATTTGATTTAAGAAAAATATGTCCTAGCCAAAAATCCAGTACTTCAGTTGAGTAACAATCTTAAAAGGAATAAATGATAGCAGGAGATATTTTGGAGTAGCTATTGACAGTTGAATAAAAAATGTTAAATATGCTCAAACAGATTTATTGCGTTTTGCCCTATTCAAAAGCCACGAGATTGAAATATTTCCCAAAAAAGGAATCCTTAAAAATATTTGGCTGTGAACAACTTCAGTGTCACAGACAGAAGAATGAAGGACAAGAGACACAAAATAGGCAAATGGGATGAGCCCAAGAATGAGAAAGAATTCATCAGCCTATGATAGTCTACCTTAGCTCCTGCTGTGCTGCAGTCGAATCCAGAGTGTCCTCCAGCTCAGTCTTGAGGGCTTCCAGCTCTTCACCCAGGTCCCGGCGTTGTTTTTCAGCTTTGGAGCGTCCCTGCCTCTCCAGCTCCAGGTCCTCCTGGAGTTCAGAGATCTGGGCCTCCAGCTCCCTAATCTTCTTCTGTGCGGCATTTTTTGCAGCAGCCTCCTCTTCGATTCTGGAATTTTAAAGGAGAACTATGAAGCACAGCAACCCTTTGCGAATTTTTATGGAAGAAAAAAAAAAAAAAAAAAAAAGCATCACTTGGTAGCTGTGGCTCAGGAGAAAAGAGCAGTTTCCTATGGACTGGAGGGTCAGTGGTTTGACTCCATGTTCGTCCAGGCCACATATCGAAGACCTTGTGCAAGGCTCTGAACCCCAAGTTGCCTACCAGTGCATACCACTAGTGTGTGAATGTGCGTGTGGGGGAATGACATTTGGTGTAAAGCGCTTTGAGTGGTCAGTTCAACTGAAAACCGCTATACAAGTCCATTTACCACTGAAGGGGAAAGTTTCAAACTATAGCCTCAATACTTGGCAACAGTGCCTCTCATCAGTGCAGTAAACTCCATACGTCGCCTGTACCTCGCCAATGCAGCAAGCAGTTCTTCCTCTTTCTTTGCCAGCTGAGCTCGGAGTTCAGCGATTTGGGCCTGCAGGTCCGCAATCTGGTCATGAAGCTCAGAAGAGTCTCCCTCGAGTTTGCGCCGGTTCTTGTCCAGCTCCTGCCGCATCTTCTCCTCTTTTCTCAGACGATCTGTAATTTCAGACAAACGTACACATCTGTAACATACATTTGACTCCTACAGTGTTGTTTTGATGCTTTTTTGATATCCAGTCTGTACAACACTTGCCTTCTAAATCTGTGATCATAGCTTCATGCTTATTCTTGAGCTTTTGGAGACTTTTAGATTTCTCTTCCTCCTCAGCCAAGTTTGTGGTGAACTCAGACATTCTCTCCTCCAGCAGTTTTTTCTCCTGCAGGAAAAACAAGGTTGCTTAAAGTATAATAGTCCATACTGTACTTGCTTTGGACTATCCTTAAAACATTTAGATATTCTACATATCATTTTGCTTTGAGAAATTCTAGTCCAGATGAACTTGATGAAGAGACCTTGTTGAGCTTGCTATTCTGGTCATCCAGCATCATGATGTCCTCTTCTAGTTTTTTTAACTTGGCATCTGTGGTAACTTTTTCCATCTGAAGCTTCTGTCTGGCTGCTTCTTCCTCATCCAGCTGCTGCTCCAGATCCTGGAAAAATAACCCAATAACAATTATTTTTTCAAATAAACACTATTATTGGGGGGGGGGAGAAAACAAGGTTTATCGCATCTTGCACTTGTCATGTGGACTGACCGTAATGTTCTGCTGCATCTTTTTTCTTTCGCTCTGAAGCTGCGTCACCCTCTCCTCCTCTTCCTCAGTGCGAGACTCCAGGTCATGCAGTATCTCCTCCAGCTCCTGCATCCTGGTGGCCAGACGGGCTCTCATCTCCTCAGCCTCGGCGCACAGCTCCGTCTCTGCCTGGAGCTGCTCCTGAAGAGCCAGCTTCTCTGCATTCAGCTGGAAGACAACAGTCAGAGGGATGTGGTCGAGCCAAGGAACAGCATATTTCAGAAGTCACCCATTATATTTATCTGCCATTAATGCCCATTTCAACAGTTAAAATCCTCCAACTTTAATTAATAACTTAATAGTCAAGAAAAGATCATTAAAGTATAAAATAGCCTCTTTATAATTCCCACCTGCTGCTGTTTGGCCTCAAATTCCTTGAGCTGCTCCTCAGTCTGCTGTTGCCTCTCCTTCACCTTGATTAGTTCCTCATCCTTAGCAATCATTTCCTCTTCCTGCCGAGTCACTTGCAGGAGAGGCTTCACCTACAAGGACAAAAAACAAAAATTCAAGAAAGCTTCTGACTTCCTTTGGCAATATATAACACTCAACAGAAAAATATGAATCAGCCTAATATTGCACACTGTGCTCAGGTCATTTCATTTGTCAAGTTAAGCAATTTTGCAAACTTGCTCCCAGTCAATGTGATAAATTGACCCAACAGAAATCCTTTGTTTGTTAATCTGTATGTGGTTCAATGTTAAACACTCTTTTTGTAAGTTGCTTTGGATAAAAGCATCTGCTAAATGCATAATTGTAATCACACCTTGGTGAAGAGCCTCCACCACTGCCAGTTCCTGAGTTTGAGGTAAGCTGCACAGTTTCGCTGGATAACTTTCATGGCTGTCAGCTGTTGTTGTCTCTTGGCAAAGGCTCTTTGTTTTTAGAAAGAAAAAAAAAAAAAAAGACTTTTTTTAAAATCAGAATCAACATTAATTGATTAGGAGAATATATGAAAGCAGAGGACAAACTGAAATATGCTAAAAGGTGAAACAACTGAAAACGTTTACAAAAATGCTCAAAATAAAAGTTTTTATTTACTTGCGAGCCACATATCCTCTGCACCAGGCTTGGAAGCTGATGATCACATCAGTGATTTTCATGTCTCTCTCCTCTTCCAGGTGCGCAAGGACTCCAGCCCTGAAGAACACTTTACTTTGACCGATGCGATACAGATTTGGGTCCAGCTCCAGAGCTTTGATCTGCAACCAGACAGTCAGATTTTTCAGAGATGAGGCATTATCTGACCCGTAAGTAAGTGAATTAATGGGCTTACCATGAGCACACAGGCTTGCTTTCCATCCATAAATCCCTTTGGAATTGCATTTGGAGTGAGGATTTCATATCTGAAACAAACAGATTTAAAATGTTTAGCAGTTTTTTTTCCAAGGGCAACTGAAGCTGGAATAATCAATTTTTTCCCTCTTTTAGTTCTACAGTCCATTCAATATAGATGCAAGCATGTATATCTTGCTATGCATATTATTAGTGTGACTGTGACCTAAACCTACTTATGCAAAGAATTTGTATTTAAGAAAAAGACTAAAAGTTGGAAATATTAGGAGAGTGGTTAAGGATACATGTTAATTATTTATTTGATTTGAAAATGCCTTTGGATGGGTTAAGACTGAAAATGTCGCCATTCTGATTCAAGTTTTTCTACGACTTTTTACCTCTGTCTGAACTCCTGGAAGACAATACGATTGGGGAAGCCTTGTCTGCAGATGCGAATCCCCTCCAACACTCCATTACACCTCAGTTGGTCCAGAACCAAGTGAGGCTCCAATTTACCAGCCTGCCAGATAAAACAGACAACTTTTTTAAAATGCCATATTCAATGGGGCACCTTTGCATCAATTTCTGCTACATTTGCTGCTTTTTACCTTCTTTTCATGGTTGGGGATGATGCAGCGAACAAAATTAGGGTTTGTGTTTCTGAGCGTGGCCATGAGGTTCCCCAGCTGTTCCTTGTACAGCTGGCCCACCGTGCGAAACATTCCTTTGCGGGTTTTGAAGGCTCCATGCATTGTATTAGACATACCAGCAACCTTATCCAAACCAACAATTCGGTCCACTGTGAAGAAATTAAATGAAAAATGGCTTATAGCAATCTTTGAAAAATTTGACATCTTGCAATGAAATTTGGAAAGTACAGGCTGAAAGTAGGTCTTTGTGCACTTTGAGGAGTGCAGACCAGTAGTATTTTCATCAAAAATTAAAGCTTCAAAATGGAAAAAATGTTAAACACCTGTACTCAGCCAGAACAATATAAGAAAAAAACAAACTGAAATTGCATTTGACACAATCTTAATACACCTTTTGACTTATTTTGTCTGGATTCCATTAGAGGATGTGCATGCAGGAGTATGAGACCACAATAAATGACCAAACTCACCATCTCTCCAAAGGTCCGCAGTAAACTTGTCTGTAGACTGGTTGAGTAAAGTGGCCACACACTCATTCAGAGGATCCATGTTTTTCATCAACCATTCATCTGCTTTATAGTCCACCTGCACCAAGAAAGATAGTAAGCGTGAAGAAAAGCTCTCAGTGTACCGTTTTATTAAAGAGCATAGCGTATGTGACATACAATTTACCTAATATACTTTGTCCGAATCTAATGACAAAATGTAAATTTGTGCGTACAATTTAAAAACAACTTTACCACAATTGCAGTCATTGTGTTAATCATTTAGCGAACTGAAATGGTCAGAGCTGAAAAGTCAAACCTTTGGAACGACTTGAAGGCTTTGCCATTCATTTTTAATAAAGAGAAAAAAAAGTCTTAAAGAAGTCTTTGAAATATTGAACACCATTAGAAATAGCAGCTATGTCCCGTGTCCCGACATAACTCCCCTAATTGTGAGAATTCCTTCAATGCATTCTCACAATTAGGGGAGACAAAAAAGTTATGTTTGCCAGCTGAATGGTTTAACAGAATTGTGTTTCCATTAGCATATCAATTATGTGACAGACTAAAGCTGCTAAGATAAATGTGACATTCAAAGAATAAATAAATAATCTGACCTTTCCGGCGTAGTGCATGATGCAAAAATCTGCATCATCTTTAAGTTTCTTGGGTTTCTGGAACTTGGGATGCGTTCCCTGCTCTTGGGCTACTTTCTCCACAAAGGTTTTGTCGGTGGCTTTGGGGAACCAGCACTCCTCATCCAGCAGGGCCAGAATGCCCGGAGGACCAGCCTATAATCAACAAAAACACCTACACGTTAGTGGAATCCTGATACTGCAGAACCTTTTTTGGCTAGTGTTCACATAACTTCTGCTGAAAGCCTCCAATAATTATTGAAGATTTCAATCTCCAGTGTTGCATCCTGATGATGATGCTGAGGAAACGGTTCTCAGATATCTCACAGGTTTTTCAATTAGGTCAATGCAGGGCTGCAGGTCCAGGCCGAAATCAATGAAGCTCCACTCGATGCCCTCTCTCTGGTACTCCTCCTGCTCCAGGATGAACATGGTGTGGTTGAAGAGCTGCTGCAGCTTCTCGTTGGTGTAGTTGATGCACAGCTGCTCGAATGAGTTCAGCTGCAGTAGTGAATCAGATCAGTTACGTGCTTTTATTAGACATACAAACATCTAATTAATATCCTTTTATTTGTAAGCACAGTGTGCTAATCAGCTGCATGCACAGATTTGTAAAGCAACCAATCCTTATGACAAACTACAGTGAAGACTCTGTTTGGAAGAATTACTTTAAATCCTTTCTATAATGCTGGACTGTCAACTCAATGAAGATGCATCAGATCCTCTCAAATTTAAAATATTTACCAAAGTGGGGGAAATGTAACAAGTCTAAATAAAACAGTCCAAGTCCAATAGTTTATGTCCTGTTTAAACAAATTTTGTCTTCCAGCACGATGGCATAGTAGAAATTTGAAGTACAGGTAGTGATGAACACAACTACTTATTTTTCTAAAGGACTTCAGGGACTTTTTTATTTTTTTGTGAGAAGAAATAACATGAAGTGAACCCACTTATTTTTTAATGAAAACTGTCTAAAACTTGATAACAATCATCATCTACCATTTGTGATCCCAGAAAAACATTTCCAAACTCAGTACATCAAAGACTGGGCAACTCACCTCAAAGATCTCAAATCCAGCGATGTCAAGGATTCCGATGAATGAGGCACCCTGCCTCTTGGTTTTGTCAAGAGCTTTGTTTATTCTCAGAACCAGCCATCGGAACATCCTCTCATAAGAAGCTTTGGCAAGAGCTTCAACAGCAAATTCTGCCTGCTCCTGAGTTTGAGCTTTCTGGACATAGTCCCTGCCAACCTGAAAAGAGGGGAAATTTTTTTTTTTTTTTTAACATATATGCACACATACACTTTCAAACTGAATATGAACTGTTCAATTATAGTTAGTGAGATGTTTCTACTTGACCCAAAAACAAACCAAAGAAAACTTTAAAAAATCCAATTATTGCGAGTGGCTTGAGTAAATTAAACAAAATGTTTTCTTTCACCAAGTCTGCTCCTGAATATAGCTTTCATGCAAGTTATTATGCCAACCTTTATTCTTGGAGACAGGATGGCTCGTGTGAAGTCTGTCACATTGATGCCCAACAGGTGACACACTTTCTGCGCAGCTACAATAAATCACATTGGAGAGTGAAAAGGTTGATTGATGAAATGGTTTACAAGAGAAAACACACACACACACCCCCCCCCCCCTTTGGAACAGAGGAAAAGGCTATGGGTACATAGATTTTAAGTCTACCTGTGTCATCAGGCATGGATGCCTGGTCAGTGTTACGCTCCTTCTTGAAAGCCATATTCCCCAGTTGCAGGACAGCAGACACCACCTTCATCAGACCTTCAAAGAGGATAGAAAGATTCTTTTAAACAGCAAAGCATGCAATGTTTAGTCTGTATAATATACTACCCACCAATCACAAACAATGATATTAACCCATCGGAAATAGGAATTTGTCACATATCTTAATATACAACACAACAGAAGAGAACAAAAATCAGCCAATTAATCACCAACACATTGAGGTTCACTAAGTTTGTAAATACTTTTTTTTTTTTTTTTTTTTTTTTTAAACATTACCAACTATTTCCTCTTCTGGGATGCTCATGATGGCAAAGGCATCCATGGTTTCAGTAAACATGTCCTTGTCTTGCTGCCCAGGAATGGTCACGTGTCCATTGGACATGAAATTGTATTTGCTGTAATCTTCCAGACATAAATCAGCTAGGGAAGGAAAAAGAAAAGTCAACTCATAGCTTAGCTTTAAACACAATACAATTGTTCCTGTCTAATAAGAGTGGTGGCACTTGAACTGCATTACATTCAGCCAACAGGGCAATCGGTTATTTTGTAACACTGTTTCCTTTCTTATTTCATCTGAAATGTAATAAAGAGGTGTGTGCTCACAGCGCAGCTTGTCTCCAACTCCTGAAAGCATGTAATAGAAGATGTGGAAGCTCCTCTCATTTTTAGCTTGCCTGATGCCTCGAGACTTTTCTAGCAGGTCTGATGTGCTCGTCAAGGATAAACCAAAGTCAATGAGGGACAATCAAAAACCCTTTCCAGCTACAATCCTTGATTTCATCCAACTGAAATTAAGAGGCCCCACCTGGGTTGATGACCAATACACACATGATCTAGTATTTCAAAAAGGATACAGGTTTCAATGTTGGCTCCAACGATGTATCCATTCACATCAAAGTTGATCCTGATAAATTTCCCCTGGAAGTGAAATATTGGGAGAACATATTTATTTATTTGATATATACTGAAGACATTTTTTGGTGAGGTCATGAAAGTCTGATGACAGCGACGTTGGCAAAATAGTTCTTTTGACATTAGGGTTTTAAAAAAAAAAAAAAAGAATTAGCCAGACACAAGGTAGAGAACGTTAATCTGATGCAGTAGGACAATAAGTCATTCTTACAAATCTCGAAGAGTTGTCATTTTTGACCGTCTTTGCATTGCCAAAGGCCTCCAGGATGGGGTTTGCTTGCAGCAACTGCTTCTCGAGTTCCCCCTAGTGAAGAGAAGACCTAGTCACACCAAGGCGGCTTAACTTTAACTCTCCAACCAACGTTACTGCAACAGTCGAGCAAGGGTGACTTAAGCATGCAAGTTCCTGCAATGCTGCACACTGTTCATTTGCAATAAAAACATAGCTTTCATTACCCAGTTCCTTAAAAAATAAAATAAATAGATAAAAAAGTCACATCATTCTCAAACATGAAATACAACCCTTGCGCATCCCACCATAAATCAAAGTCTTGCAAATTAGCAAGCCCATTCAAGCTCATAACAATGTTAGACCAACAGTTTATGCAGGCACAAGCAGGAAGAAAAAACAAAACAAAAATAGAAGCATAATCACAGGCAGAGAAAATATCCCCAAAGGAAATATCAATACCCACATAACAAGAAAGAAAGAAACAGCTGCAGGGTGGAGTGGGAAAACTGACTAAAACACATTCTCAGATAAGGTATCAAGTTTCTGCCCAACTGCTGTATGGCATGTGAAAAGCAAATAATTGTTATGCAAACCGCACAGATGAGTCACTTTGTATCATAATTCTAAAAATAAATAAAAAATTAAAAAGGTGGAAGCTTATAGCATGGCTTTGTTAAGAGTCGTTATGCTGCAGCTTGATATTCATCCCAAATATAAAGTAACAAAATGTGTTTCCCCAAACGCCCAAACATAGACAAACAGTAAACAGAATGTTTTATGTTGGTCTGGATACTTATGGTCTCAGAGAGATGAACTCACATGTGACAACACTGCGCTGCCCTGGAGAGAAGGTGCATAAAGATAAACAATGTTTTAAAAATGAAAAGTGATAAACATATTGCATCAAAGCAGACAAAATCCTGGACTCAACTGATGAGTCATGAAAAAAGAAAAATAAAGAATTCATATAACATTTCATGTTGAGTCTTGCAAAACAGCTCCCCTACTCCCAACCCACACTCAGTCTGCGTTATGCTTCACATCAGTCTATGCGGAGGCACGGCCGGCATGTCAAGACCTGAGACAGGAATGCCAAATCAGTGCCTCACATCTTGTCAAGGTACAAAACTTTACAGAAAAAGTACTAATATGGAAATGTTCCAATCGGCAAAGGGCAGGGCAGGAGGACTGAGCAAATCGGGACATGATTTGTTAAGCATTAGTGAATTCAAAACTCATCTTTTGAAGTAGAAAAATACAATTGAAATAAATTGACATTTATAGAAAAGAAAAAAAAGGTAACTGACCTGGTCCTTTTTAGATTTGAAGGAAGAAGCAACATGTGCCAGATACTGAATGACTTTCTTTGTATTTTCAGTTTTTCCAGCTCCTGACTCCCCACTGCAGAAAATCAGATTAAGACACAATATTAAAATATAATGAATAGTGATCATTTGTCAGAAAGGGTTAGGGTTCAAATTTGCTAACCATTGAAGATTACCAAAAATAAAATAAACTCTCTCTCTTCCTTTGTTTAAGGTAGATGGATCAGAGAATAAGAATCAGAGATCTGTAAGAGTCACGCAATTAAAATGCATAAGCAGCTGCTTACTTTCACACCAGGACTCTCCAGAGCTTTAGAGCCTTGAATTCAAGGCAAAGCTGCAGAGTCATAAGATAACTGTCTCATGACCCATCAATACAGCCCCAGGCAAAAGTGACAACCACATTCTGAGTGTTGGTTCAGCTTAGTGTTCCGGGGTGTGTGTTCTTGTCCTCAAGTTTTGCCAGGGGTTGTACGAGCAGCAACTTTCAGGTTGGGCTAAAACAAGCGTGTGGGCCACTATGATGCTGCAGGTAAGAATGTTGAGGAAGACTGAAAATGATCCAAACAACTAACAAAACACTAAACACTAAACTTGCAGCATAAGAAAGAAAAGATTTCTATAGAAACCTACACGAGAGAGACTTACGTGCAAAGAATGGACTGATCCTCCCGATCTGTATAAGGGAAATGGATGGAGAAGTGCAATTTCAGATCAAGTTAATTGAAAATAGGCAATGATGCTTGACTTTATTTTATTTACATCTGCAATACATATTAATTTAACCTCAAAAAACTTTATCCATTAAACAACCATAAAAATATTTCAATACAGTTAAAAGATGTCCTGTGCACACTATTGAACATACCTTGCATCATACTCCTGTAGGCTGTGTCTGTGATGGCATAAATGTGGGGGGGCATCTCATGTCTCTTCTTGCCTTTGTACATGTTTATAATTTCCTCACTATAGATGGGTAGGTATTTGTAAGGGTTGATCACCACACAGAAGAGACCAGAGTATGTCTGTATGAAACGGAATGTTAAGTGTTACAGGGACACGTTGACTCAAATGTCATATTAGAAATGTGAAAATAATTCAATCCAAAACACATGTGCAGTGCATTTACATACAAATGGGATCGTTTCCTGAGACACTCACATAGATCAGTCCAGAGTAATATCTCTCCTTGAGATTGTGCAGCACAGAGGCCTCATTTAGACAAGTGAGCTCTGCCATGTCCTCCACCTTACTGAACTTGGGTGGGTTCATTTTTTGAATGTCATCCTTGTTTACTTTAACCTGACATTCATAGAAACAGACAAACAGGGGTTAAAAAGAAAAAGACATTTTAAAAAAATTGAATTTTCAGGTGATTTAACATAACTGGACAAAAAGGAGAAAATTCTGGACAACTCACCTTCTTTCCCGAATCCACCAGCTCCACCACACACTCCTCTCCCTTCTCCTCTTTGACAGAACCAGCCTCGAAGCCCAGCTTCTCACTGGGGATCCACACCAGCTTCTTGGTGGCCCAGTCAGCCTGAGCCAGCGGGTTGTTCATCTCACTGCGGTCCCCATACAGGAATTTGTCCGCGTCCGTCATGATGGCTCCTGTTAAAGAAAAGATGCAGCAATTTGAACGTTCTACTCTTTCACTGAAAGCTTGAAAAGGCTCTTTGAGAACAGGTCAGGTGTGAAATCTAGTCAATACAAATCAAAATGTTTTGTTTGTAAAAACTCCCTCCATTAGGACATCATCATTAAGCACTTTTTCTCTTGTATGTTAGATTCCTTTTCATGAAGCAAGGCCAAACAAACAGTTTAGAACAGGAAATCTAAAACTTTTCCCATAACAATGGCTGCAACTGTTTGAAAATCAAATACTTTTTGCAGGGGTGGGCAACTCCGGGCCTCGAGGGCAACTGTCCTGCGGGTTTTAGAGGTGTCCCTGCTTCTACACACCTGATTCTCATTAACACAACATCAGCAGTCCTGTGCAGAGCTGAACCATCTTTAGAAGAAATTAGTTTTATCTGAATCAGGTGTGTAGAAGCAGGGAAACTTCTAAAACCTGCAGGACAGCGGCCCTCGAGGCCTGGACTTGCCACACCCCTGGTTTAAAAAGACAAACAGAAAATCCAGCTACTTTTAAAAGATATTCCTCGTAATAAAAAAATAAAATAAAAAGAATTAAACCCAACTTGGCATCTACTCTTGAATCAAGATGGTCACAGAGGGGCTTGTTTGCTTTGTTAAAACTAACAGTTTGACGCTAGTTCTAAGCTTGTCGCATCTCCAATAAATTGAATCTTATTTCTACAGGCTATTCCTTTTTTTTTCCCTTTTCATTTTACTCACAGCACAGTAAGTCAAGGGATTCTGCAGATTTACCAGTAATTTACAGCCAAATTCTTTGGACGTGTCCTGACTCAAGCTGCTTTTAGATGCAGGACACAAACATTCAAGCTCAGGCAAGAAAATGTTGACCGAGGATCCTTTAAAAAGGAGAAGGAAAAAATTACCATTTAATGACTGCACTTTCATTCAGATGAAACATTCCTGTATGAGAAGAGGCTTTAACCATGTTCAAAAGTATTTACATGTATTGACTGTCAGGGTGGCATCAGTAAAACTGGTTCTGCTCATTACACAGTAAATGTCAAACTATACAACTATAAGACATAAACGCAGCTCAGTAAAAGGCAACACTTAAAGAACTTTCGCGTAACTCAGCATCTGATAATAACTTTTGCGTTTTGTGACAGCGAAGTGATGAGTTGTTAAGTTTGTGTAATAGATCTGGGTTTCCCGGATGTACTGTGTGATAAGCAGAGGTATGCATTCACTGAATTGGACCCTCTGTTGAGGTACAGAGCAGGTTTGGGCACATCACTTGCAACAGCTGTTTGATGTTTTTCCACTGTCTCATTAAGAACAGGCTGCTTCTTCATCCAATACATCTGTATCAGAGGTGGAGGGCAGAAGTGGGCGGGGGGAGAAAAGATGTTTCAAACCAAAATGAACTGAGATGACACGCATACATTTAGTCACCTATCCGCTAAGCTCAGCAGCCCACTCCCGTTAGTTCTCTACCTGTCCATCCTTCATTTTCCTTCCGGCCGACATTCCTTCTCCACCAACTTATTACACAAAAATTCCCCAAATTCCTCAACGCTGCCTCATTATCCATGATGCTCCATTTACCCCTCTAAACTGCACAAGAAGGGGTTGAAATAAATCAATAAAAAACCAAAAGGAAAGTGCACTTTTTTTTTTAACTCCATTTTTAAAGCCCCACGTTTAGGCTGTGGGCAAGTCCCATACGAGATCAGGGGAGCGATGCTGTGCAGCCAGTGGGGATGGGGCAGGAATGTCAGAGCAAGTCTGGGCAGAGAGAGATATGTCATTACATCCCCACCACACCCTGCAAAAAAACACCTCAAAACGATATTAGAAGCGATGGTCGAGCCCATCGCTTCATTCTCTTTCCCAATCCGCATTTCCCTGAGCGCCATATTTATAAGATAAGCCATTGCTTTTAAAAGCGTGTTCAGAAAAGCTGCGGAAAGAAGAAAGCCACAAAACTTTGGCATGAATAAAACACACACACACCTCAGAATATTAGCATTCGTTAAGCCGGTGTGTATAGTTTGGAGGGCAAAGTGATTAAGAGGGATCTGCTTCATCTTGTATGCAAATGTTAATAGAGGGATGGATAAAAGGATCAGTGAAGGCTCTTCTAAGTTCATTATGTGATCAGACTCTTGAAGAAGATCAGCACAAGAGGAACACGCTGACTTAACTCTTCTTTGAATGCGGAGCCTGCTTTGTTCCCAGAGAAAACGAGTGTCAAAGATCTACAGTTGTATTCAAGAAACCAACAGCTTCGATCGGTTTTTTAAACTCGCACAGAGATTCATTTGTTTGCGGTTTTTCTCTTGAAAACTCGCCATGGAGGCAACTTCCCCAGGAAGTTGCTAAATGACTACTTCAGTCTCTCCAAAGTCTATTCACACATTCGGTTGTTGCCGGTCGACCCGTTTAATCGTCTGTTTTCTTTGGCACGCTTTCAGGAGTGTCTCCGCGCTCCTGTTCTTGGCGGCCAGTCAATCCCAGCTTTGTGCGGGCTCTTACCTCAACACGGCGAGCAACAAGCTCTGCCATCTGCAGCGCGCCTTAAAGGGCCGCCAAGTTGTTGTCCCTGCACTGGAGGACGTGCCATTTCTTTAAAAAAATTAATAAACACCTAAAAGGTCTGGCGTTTAGAAAGAGGGGCGGACAAAGAAGAAATCAGAATTTTAAAGATGGACAAAGGGGGCAACAGTATGCGCCGTCAGGGCGTCAAGCAAGTTCAACCGAAAGAGGAAGAGGTCCTGTTCACTGACTAGCCTCAGCTGGCCTCAAAAGCTGTCAGTAGCTGATGCGACTTGTCAAAAATATTGATCACTAATGATGGATAGTCCTCCGTTAGAAGTCTTACAACTACCTGAAGGCCTCAGAGCAGAGTCCCTTTTTCTGATGACTGGATGCCATACTAGCCTAAGGATAGGCAAACAGTAGCGGGGTGTGTGTGCGTGGATCGTTTCACAACTGAGTGAATAAAAACTAATTTGTGCAAACCGTCACACACATACAGACCATCTGGATAAACAGAACAATAACTTAAACGAAACAATAACTTAAATGAAAGCACGGTTTTCAAACTCAGTTAATTACTTGGAAACCAATTAGTTCAGCTGAGCCTAACCAACATCACTGCCAACATATGTCCCCCCTCACACACATTTACAACTCTAAAAGACAACACAAATGGGGGGGATATATCTGGTTGAACTGGTTTCACTCCTTTGAACTTAAAAAAAAAAAAAAAAAAAAAAAAAAAAAGTGGCAGAAGTATTACTATATCTGTAAGCCAGGGTTTTTCCAATCCCTTCTGGTGACATAATGCATTGAGCGATCCTAAAAGCCTGTTCAGTGACAGACTGCTGCTTCCCAAGTGCCAGACCAATAGACTTAAGAACTCTTTTGTCCCCAACGCCATCAGACTGTACAACGCCTCACTGGGGGCGAGGAGGTGACACAGGACAGGGGGAAGAGATATTACATACACACAACTCCTATTATATACACTGTAATTAATCTGTATTTTTTGTATTTTTTATTTTTTTGCTTAAAATAATTTAACTTAATACTTTTTGCCCTTTAAGCTGCTGGTAACCTTAATTTCCTGAGGGAATCTTCCCAAGGGATCAATAAAGTACTGTTTAAGTCTCTATGTCTAAGTCTAATGATCAGAAACAAGTTTTGGAAGCTCCTCTTTCCGTCTGATTGGAACACCTTCCGCAGGTGTGACACTTCTTGCATGTCCACCAACCCAACAAACACATATACATACTTTTATATATACACACATATATATATACACACACACATATATATATATATATATA